ATATAGTCATCACAAAACTAAAATCAAATATGAGCTTATCTATATAACCAAGTTGACTGGAACTCAACATGGTTATATCTTAATAATAATAACAAATAATTACACAAATTTACTAACTTCAAACTTAGTAAACTTAAAACTTTTCATATTAAACTTCTATATAATGAACTACTTACACTATTACATTTACAAAAATACTATCTAAACATCATATCAAGCAACAAATACTTCAAATACAACCAAACAGATTCAGAACTCTATTAAATCACAAATTATAATAACAATATTCTACAAAAAATTATTTTACAATCAGTAATTAAAATTCTTAATATTGTAAATCTAGAAATTACTCAATTCTAACTTAATATATTGCAAAACTCTATTATCTACTACCCTTTGCTCTAATTACTTACAAACTTCTTTAATACTATTAGTTTATATATATTACTTAAAGGACTTATACTATATACACTTATTCAAACAATTTAATTGTATACTAACTTACTTTAAACTACTTACTTCACAACTAACTATTAAGTTGCTCCTCAAACTTAATACAAAAATTTATAAACAACTATAAATACCTTATTGTTCAGAATATGCCAACTAGAAACAACAACATAATATCTATATATCATACTAAAACTCAATCTAATTGAAAAAATAACCAACAATCTCATTATAATTTGTATAAACTACTAACTTCTACAGTCCTCTCCCTCAATACAATCAAATTTCACTAACTGAACTTGCTATACAAAAACTTTTAGCTTGGCTATTACATTAGATTAAATATAGTTTTTCTATTAACTCTATTCTTTTTAATCAAATCTAAGTGAGTTTTGACTATTCTAGTAGGTTTATATCATAGATAATTCTAAATTAGCTTAGCTTTAGTACTATTTTAGTTCTAGTTATTTTATTATCATCTGAGCTTCAATTCTTGTATGTAATTTATTATCAAGTAGTTTTGTGTAAACTTTTAACTATATTTTACTCAATAAAGATAGAGACAAGACCTCACCTCAACCTATAGGTTGAAATTTCAAAAAAAAAAATGAAGGATAAGATTACTCAAGTTAAAAAAAAATAAAAATAAAAAAATAAAAAACTCTCTATATAAGTATAACTTCTTTATAAACATATTTTTAAAAAAACTTACTATATACCTAACTATGTGATTATTATTATATAGAAGGATAACTGTACTTAGATCAAATATTTTAACAATTATAAGTTTTAAAGTAATCAATTATAAATATTATATATTTTATGCATCTCTTGTATATTTTATACACCACTTGCATATTTATGCATATTTATACATAAATATGTATAAACATGCAAAGGATGTATAAAATATACAAGAAGTACATAAAATATGTAATATTTATAATTGATTACTTTAAAACTTATAATTGTTAAAATATTTGATCCAAGTAATTGGTTTTAAGGAGTTTTCAAAAACCTGGGTTTAAGGGAAAGGGAGGGCTATACGTAGTTATGTAATAAGTGATAGTCCCCTAATTCAAATAAATCAGATTGGTATATCATGCTTAATGAGACGACTAATATAATTTTATTGGAAATTTTGATATAACTGCAGTTTGCAGTCTTAATTAATTAAATAGGAGTACTCATTAGTGATATCTAAGTGATCAAATTGATCATAACTGCAATCTTGAATGAAACATTACATCATACACATAAAATACTTTAAACTGTATAAATTAATTACTCGAGCAATTGATTCAATATTGAAAGAATAGGATGAAATACCTATGTTAAAAAGTTTAACTGCTAATAATGAGTCAATATGTTATACGATTTAAACTATGATCCTATTCTGTCACAATAAATATTATAATGAATTTATAAAAATTTAAAATGGGTAGTGATCTCAATACAAAAATTTAAAATTGCAATTGCAGTAATTTAAAATGTTTGTGATCGCAATTACAGAAAGTTAAAATAGGTTGTGATCGCAATTACAGAAAGTTAAAATGTGTTGTGATCACAATTGCAGAAAGTTAAAATAAGTTGGGATAGTAGGAAAATGGGTTAGACATATTGTTGTTATAAATCGGAGAGTTTAATTTAATGAATTTATTAGATCACAAATGCGCCGTAATGATAAATTTATATAATAAACAGTAAATGAAACCTTTCTTTAGCATCACTTCTAACAAATTTAATAATGATAATGATTTTTATGTAGTAATCTTTTATGATGTTCAGAAATCTGCAGTGTAGAATCTGCCAGAATTCTGCTTCTGACCTACCTGCGAAGAACCATTCTAGCATCGCTCAAAAATCTGTTACATATCGGTGTTTAAATTAACATCCCGACAAATTGTAATAAGCTACTGTAAATGATTCAAGGTAAAGATATTATTATTATTATTTTTAAAGATCGTTTCTGCACACTCAATAAACACACTTGCACAATGAATTTACCCTGTACAATATTTTTAAGTTTGGCAAATAAGTAAATTAAATTATTTATTACTATTAATATATTATATTATCCTATGCACCAACCAAAGATGATAAGTATTTTTCACAAATAGCCTTTGTCTAAACATTCTCTTGATGATTCCCATATTAAATAAATCGATCATAATCTAATTTTGTAAAACCATAAAAGGTATGAACTACGACTATTCTAAGTTTTTCTTAATATTTTCGAATTTTCAAATTTTTACAAGTTTTTTACAATCTTTTTTGACTGCGTTTATTTTTTATTTTATTTTATTTTTTACTGTCTAAACAATTATTGTTAGATATAAACAATATAATAAAAAAAAAATAATAATAATAATAGGATGAATCTAATTGTAACATCTGTTATATGTAACAACCTCAGAAAATTAGATCAGAACCAATTAACTACCAGGAAGAACCTCAAAAGAATCCAAAAAAAAAAACCTATCAAGAGGATTCTGAACAAACTTCAAAAAATCAGTTATTGTGAGGTCATTCTGGATTCATTGGGGTTTTACCAGTGCCAGAAGAACCTCAAACGAATCCAGAATGAACCACCAAAAAGAACCTCAAAGGAATCTAGACGAAAAAGTACTATCAAAATCACCAAAAGAATCCAGAGAAAAGTCCCAAGAACGCCAAATTGCTAAAAGAACTTCAAAAGAATCGCTGGAAAAGCTCAAAGAATCCAATAAGCACCAAATCGCCGGAAGTACCTCTAAAAAAAAAAAAAAAAAAAATCCAGAGAAAAGTCCCAAGAATCGCCGGAGGCCTAAAAAAATCAAAAAAGAACCAAGATTATCGGAAGTACTTAAAAAGAACCCAAAGTCTCAAAGACCCGTCGGAAGAGGCTAAAGAATTCAAAAAAGTCGGAAGTACCTCAAAAAAATCTAGAGAGAAAAGTACCAAGAACCGCCGGAAGAGCTTAAAGAATCAAAAAGCACCAAATCGCCGGAAGTTACTTCAAAAAGAATCCAGAAAAGTCCAAGAACCTCCGGAAGAGCCCAAAGAATCGAAAAAGAACCAAGATCACCGGAAGTACCTAAAAGAATCCAGAGAAAAGTCCCGAGAGCCTAAATAATCCAAAAAGTACATCAAAAATTCCCAAGAACCGCCAAAAAAAAAATCAAAAAAGAACCAAGATCATTGGAAGAACCTCAAGAGAATTCAACGAAAGCACCAAGAACCGCAAGAAGAGCTAGAAAAAAAATCAAAAACACCAAGAATCGCCGGAAGAAAAAAGAATCCAGAGAAAGCTTAACCAAGAACCGCCGGAAGAGCTCAAAAAATCCAAAAATACCAAGATTCGCCGGAAGATCTACAGTAAAAGAATCCAGAAAAGTCCTAAAAACCGCCGGAAGAGCCTAAAAAACCAAAATCACTACTACCAAGAATCGACGAAAAACTTCTAAAGAATCCGGAAGAATTTCAAAAGTCAGAAAGAATCATTGGAAGAATCTCAAAACCAGAAAACCATCAAAAAACGAAGAAGACTTTCCAGAAGAGCCGCAAAAGTAGAACCTCAAAAAAGACCGAAAAAATCGTTGTAGTTAGTACAATAAAAAAAATAAAAAAGAATAAAAAAGAATAAAGACGATAAAATTGTTATTGATATAAAATTTAAAATTTAATAAATAATATTTGAACGAAGATGCAAATCAGTCATCGAACAAAATTGTTCGATGTCCAGGTCACACCACGAGGAGGTTTGCATCATG